CAGGATGCGAGTGGAACCAAGACATGCAAACCAACTTTAAACCCTGCCAATCCCAATAAACTTAAAGTTAAAGTTTTTTCCTTATTTACAAAACTTTTCTACAGGAAAAATCAGAAGTAAACTAATTTAAGCTTCACTCAGGATGTGAGTGGAACCCAATAATATAGTTCTGATACTGCTATGGTAATAATAACAATTGTTTTATTATTAAAGCAAATCAAACAGTTTAAACAGACAACCATCTTGTATGAAAAGGGCACACAAATACACTATCTATTGTGTACTAGTACTGTAACCTGCAATAATTACAACCACTTATCAGTTAAGTTTATATAACCAACAAATATATCTAAGTCCTAAACATGCAAGTGATATATATCTTTATATAGCATCTCCACATCATAAAATACATATTTTTTTAAATATTTTTATTTTTAAGCCATCATTTTAAACATGAAAGTTTAATACTATAAAATACTAGGTGATCAAGACGTTTACACAGTGGGGACTCTCATTAAGTATACTGATAAAGTTACTTGTGAAGATCATAATGCCTAGGACTAGAATTTTATTGCCAGGTCCCAAGTCATTACAGTGTGTGTTGAAAGTTTACCATGGAACATTTTCTTTCTGTGGTGCATGTAGTAGCAAATGTTGCTGAAAACTGTAAATCAGAAGAGTTGCTTAAGGTCAAACTATATGCTAAAGCTGAGCTCTGTGTACAGAGAATAGGCAGGATGTCTGGTGGAATGTAGAGAAAAAAAAAAGACAATTTGAAAATTTATGTTTATGTTTTTTTAAGTTCACAGAAGTTAAATTATTGGATTATTCTACTCATTCATGTGATGACTGATTTCATACATGCCTGAAAAGTGCACTTGACTCTGCATTATATATATATATACACACTTGTCAAGTTAACCGACTATTTCAAAAGGCATGACACTATGAATCTTAATGAAGAAATGCTTAGATTAGATGATGTGTTAGTAAATTCAACATATAATGTACGAAAACAGCCATCCAGGATCATAATCCGTACCGAGGTCAGGTTAGGCACCATGTTCCTCAGGTCAGATGTAAAGCCGTGTTCTTTAGGTAGTGGTAAGCCAGGCAAGTAGCCTTGTTCCTCA